TCAATGAAATGGCGACCATACAAAGTAGGTATTTTAAGCTAAGTATCAATGGAAACGAGTGTAGGAAAGAGTGACGCGATCTTGTAGTCTTGTTAGTGACTAAGGCCGACATATTCCTTAGACACAGCTGTTAATTAATAGCACATACAGCTAATGGTAACTAAGGGACCTACAGTTTATAGTGGAATCCGTCACTGAAAGTCGGTCATCCCATCTTGGTTGGGTTAATGTTTGGTGCAAACGATCATTGGTGAAACCTCGACGATCAAGAGCGACGAGCGAGGTAGGTGCGATAAGTCACCTGATGATACTGTGACATTCACTGTGGCATTGTGCCACATGTTTGCCTCAGTGACATATACTTTGCCACAGTGACAGTGCCACAAACCGCTTTGTAGACCCGGGCAGTCTTCCAGCGGTCCAGTCATCCGTTCTACTTACTGACAAGCCGTCGTTGCCAATGTCCGGTAACAAGGTGATGTCAAGGCCTTATCAGTGATCAGTGTTAAGGACTTCCTTTTTAAGAACTGATAAGTGTAATTGAATTGATGTAAAGATTAATTTGCATCACTCTGTTTTCGAAAATAGCCCATCTTCGAATCGTCAATTTCCATACACCAAAAACAAATAGTGATCAGCTGACTTTTCCTGACATAAACATTACTTTCGCTACACAAACAATACTTTGCATGACATCAACAAAGTTACAACTGAAGTTCCCGGTTAGCTAAAAAAAAAAACAAGCACCATTATCTTAAAAAAAATACGTAACAGAAGATTTATTTCATTTGGTTGTTTGTTTTTGGCAGTTTTGATAATCAGCTGGATATTACACTAAAATTAATTGTACAGCCGCATTGTGTTTATATTAGAAAAATGAATGAATTATGAAATATCAGATATTTTTTTAACTTTGAAGAAGGAGTTTTTTTTTCATCGTGATAAAAAGTATCGTTCAATACTCGTCACGGAAGTCCAATTTCGGGGCGAGATAGTGTTTTAAATGCTAGTCGACTAGTAGTGAAATATACTATTCCATTGTAGATTGGGGTTTCTTTAATGTAGCATTTTCTTCATACAACATATTTGACAAAAATATGTCTGAACAACTCTATTTTTTCAAAATTAAAATGGATGTCCATTTGTGGTATATTGCCTCTATTCCTACAAAATGTCAAATAAATTAATTGGTTCAGCAGTTTTTACGTGATGAACTGTAATACTAACCGGCAAACATCCAAAGTTTTGCATTAATAATATTAAATTGATGCTGTTTAAAATGGGCAGTGAGGTTTTGAACAGCGTGAAGTAGCAATTACTACAAGGACCGACTCTTTATTCAAGTCCCCTGCGCTAGCTAAAAATAGAGATACTTATGCTAAACTCCATATTATCCAGTAGCCAATGAATATATTAATTTGCATATATCTAAGCAAACATATATAGGCATAAAAATAGTTTTTGATCAGAGAAGTTTGGTTTTAAAACAACCAATTTGTAAACATTACAATTAACCAGTCAAATCTGATGAGCCCATTTCAGGCCAAAAAATCAAATCGCTTTATCTTTTTTGCAAAATTTGTTGTTTCATTTCAAATGTATTGTTATTGCAATCAGATAAAAAAATAATATATTAGGCTAATTCGTTTACCATGCCAATAGGCTACTGAGGTATTGAAAGTCTTAGAGCAGAACGTTTTCTCTTATGTGGATGGTGGGTAGATAATAGTCTGCTGATGACATTAATGGAAGTATATTAATGAAATTTGCCTAATATCATTGTAAGTTCAATCAAAATAGCAAACGTAAGGGCTCATTATTACAACGTTATTTATATATTAGGTGTTGGTCTAAGTATAAACCTTTTCTTATTTATTATAGAACTATTTTGAGTACATGTCTTAACAAAAACTAGAAATTTGCCTATGCGGAATGTTTGCTGCTATGGTTTATTTTAATATACTTTACCCCACATTTTAAAGCAAGTAAAATAAAAAATATGACCGAAAATTGCATTATAATATTTATAACACTAAATAATTTCCAGGTTAGACTAATGTCTCTGAAAATGATAAAACGAGTATTTATCTTATATTATATGTTAACTTATTCACTTTGAACAATCTCAGCAGCTATGGATATAAAAGTAAAAATGATATTTTTCCTAATTTACTATGATTGATTAAACGTAGGCGTAATTTTACTTGGTAAACTAGTTTTAAGCTCTATATGAAAATCATAATTACAACTATACAATATTTTGTGGCCTTGCACTTTTATAGATCTTGTATAGAACCAGTCCAGTAGCGTAAACCCATTTAACAAACTTCGTACGTAGCCCTAAACTAAAGCAAATCCAAGATTATAAATTTGAATAAACCTGCTAAAGCTAAAACAACACTATAGTCAAAGTGTACTTTGTCTCGTATGTTATATTATTTTTTTTCTAACCTCGTATTTTGTGCGATGTGAGGGCTCAGAACCAAACAGGTTTTCCTTATTGGATGAAGATAAGTATAAAACGAGTTCGCCAGAGATCGTCTTACTAAACACTGTGTTACGTTCGTATTACAAACTGCAACAGTAAGGTCACAGTTTGATACAATCATTTACAATCCACTTTGTCTTCTACCAAACCTCAATCGTGGGTTATGTATAAAAGTAGTTTGTAGTAGTCTTATTTTAGTAATTTCTATCAGCTACGGAAATAAAAAAAAAGTTTCAAATATATAGTATAATTTATTTACAAAGACCGAAAGTGAGGTTGTTTTTCTCATTGGCTGTTAATTGAAAGTGTTGACAATCAACACACAGCTGTTAAACAGTTATTAGTTGTTTTGGCTACAATTAATTTCACTCCAATTAATTCGGTTTTATATAAAAGGAACCAGGAATCGTCACTCTACTCACTTTAAATTAATCACTCTAGGATGCCGATATCCATACAAACTGAGTGTTTGGAATTCCATAGCTTGTTTTTAATTTGGAACGAAGGCCAACTCAATGAGTCAAAACCTACAAATGTGTCTAACCTTGGACTTGTTGTCACCGAAATATCCATGTCATCCTGGGTTGAGGTAAATAGCTTTGTGTCAATGAGACTGTAGGGGTGAAAGAATGCAGGAAAGTGTATAGGAAATTATATGGTTCTTAATGGCGATTTCAAAATGTCCAATACAGTACAAAAAATACAACTACTTTGCTATTTTATCGTGTGTTTTATTCTGTTCTCGCTTTAGGATCCATTACTGCATATTCCTGGCAAACTGTCAAAAATGCATTAACATTTGAGTGCTGATTTTATTGATTATTTTACAGTCGAACCCACTCATCCGGGATGGGAGGTTCTAAGCTGAAATATTAGAAAGAGAAATAAGAAAACCCCTTATAAAAATCTGTGCACTTGACGAAAGATGTATACTAAAATACGTTTTTATACTAAAAGAGAACTCATAAACCGGTTTTCAGCGTTTCAATTGAAACTTAAACTAGGGGTGGGCGTTATGTACTTAAAGAGTTCATGGCGGATCTCTGATTTACCATACAGTTCTTAGTAACATCTGTGTGTTTAAAATTTGTGAAAATCCTGATTATATTATACGATTTTACTTTTAAGCAACGATGAACATTATTCGCGGAATAGATTGGTATAAACAACTATCGTGTATATGGATGCAATCATAAACGCGTTTGTATTTGAATATTTACTTAACCAATCGTGCGTTGATGTAATATTTATAAAAGACAGAAACTTTAGATAAGGAATACCATTTCTCCAAATAAAAAAGTTTTTTAGTACACAAAACGTTGTTTCAATTTAAAAAAAAGGGTCAACAATATATTTGTAACTTATAAACAAAGTTGTCTACCGAAATAACTTTTAAAAAATCAGAATCCAATTCAAATACGTAATAGAATTTATTCACGTTATTGCATTACTTTTCGCAACCCTACTTGCAGAGCACACGGGCAGCCTATATGTCATTGTCACAGATAACGTATGGATTTTCTAACTTCGTTCATTAGTTCAACTCAAAGTGTGTTTCGTTGTAAATATTACAAAATCAATCCGATGAAAATGAGTTAGCTTTAAATAAATTGCGTTTAAGCTTTGGCAAACTAAAATTAATTGTGGAATTATAAAATGGGCATTATTAGATTATTTTTGTCGATTGTAATTGCAGTGAGATTATTGAAGATACTTCAGTTAGTCAAGTTACAAACAACTTTCATTGCGTATGCTTAAACTTGTATCAATAGCTAATGTATTAAAATAAGTAGTTATTTCCACTAAAATTGCCTTCAGTTATTTTTCTCAGGGGGCAACCCCGTATTTTGCTTACATGTTGGGGCGAAAGACCTCCCGTTTTCCATTTGTACTACTGTAGTTATACGCATATTTAGCTGTCTAAAACTCTAGAAAACTTGGTTAATTTTTATTAAGTGTAATCTGGGGGGAGGGGAGGCAATGGCACTGCTACATCAGTATTTTTTAGGTGAAACAGTTCTTATAAACCGTCATCTCGTATTAAACACTATCGAATGTTACGTGTCATCACTTTATACCTCTGTTCAAGGAGTCAGCGAAAATAAAATATTATTATCCGCGGTACAGGTAACCCTTTAACATATTTTTTGCTTCCAGAGAAATAATGAATGAGTCGTCTTATTCCCAGAAGGCGTTGAGACCGATAACATTGGTTTTTCTCAATTCATTTATTAGTTCAACTGAAAGTATCTATTTAAATATTACAACATTAATTCGGTAAAAACGTGTAAGATGCAGCAATTATACTCAGTTTTAGGTGTAAACACTTTCGGCTTCCAGAACCGCAATGACTCGTCTTATTCCCAGAAGGTGCTCGGTGTGGGGCGAAGCCTCGGGAGTCACCGGTCTAGGAATCCGCTCAACTACGTCATCCTACCTTGAACACCTCTCCCCCTCCCACTCCCATCTGGTACCTGGCATGGCGGAGCTCTCGGTTCAGTTCAGAGAATCAACACCGACAGTCATTGTTGAGCTAGCGACGAACAAACGTACCGCGACCGACCTACACCGCGATAGTTTTAGTGTTTATGTGATAAGAATCGTGTGTTATCACTTACATGTTTGGATGCGATGTTCTCGTGATGTGATTGGTAGTTGGTGTTTGTAGTTGTAGTAACATTTGAGAAGAATGTTTGGAAACAGAGCCATGGAGTTTGGAGCTTCACTGTTTGTGCTCTTCGCGGTTGTACATACGGTAAGAATGTTTGCTTTAAGAGAGATTGGAAGGGTAAATGTCAGTGTTAGTTTGTATGAAAAGCAAGCAGACGTATGCTTATTTAATGCATAAAAACTGTACCCATGTATAACGAGTTCAATGATTGTTAATGCTGAAAGTTGTTTTAACGTATGACAGGTAATTGTAGCTGAGTAAAGTCAGAACGTTCGAGAATCTCAATGTAACTACTGTATAACCTATGACTATTTTTGTTTGGGAAAATAACTTAGGGTTAAATGTTGCATTAAAATGGGTATATCACAGTAGATTAAATCAGCTAGAAAATCAAGTTACTTAAATCTTATTGTTATATACTTTAGAATTTGAAGGGACTTTAATGGGTGGAATTGAGTAGAGTGTAATATAAAATTTGTTTCGGATAAATAAATATCAAAGAAAATTGCCTACCTAAGTAGGTTAGGGCTATGAGGTCAAAAAACATAGAAATAATTTGTTTAGATCCTAATCTCGCAGAATTTTAGTAGGCCTATTTATTTTACTAACGTACACATACGTACTAAAACTAGTGTCGAAGAGAAGCTACAACAATGTAAACACTCTCTTAATCAAGTCCTTTGAGCAATGTTGGTTGATCCCCAGTACGTTGACTCCTAATAATACTAGGTGGCGTTCGCAGAAGCATCCACAAAATTGAGCGGAGTCATCAATGGTTCATATTATATTGTTTTTGTCATACTGCAGTGAAAACAGTCGTCATTGATGCATGCGTTGCGGGTCTAAAGTAGCATTTTTACTCTTTAGGGAATAAAATTCGTTTTTATCCTCTATGGAGTAAAACTCAGCTGTAGTCAACTCAGTTGTAAATTTCTATTGTAAACGATTGAATACGTATCGAATTATGTAACGATTCGTGCTTCATAATCATTTTAACCTACAGTCTACAGTCTCTTCCCATAGCATTTTAGCATTGCAGATACATTAATCCATTCCCACACTCAACACTGCCCACCTTTACTACTTCCTTCACCACCCCCTACGTCGTGGACCTGTTTCCGTCTCTTACCATAGCATTTTAGGATTGCAGATACATTAATGTAATTGCCAAAGACAGTTCCCACACTCTGCACGGCAAGCCTTACTAATTCCTTCACCATTTCCTACGTCATAGACATGTTTCCTTCCCTTCTCACAGCATTTAAGTATTAGATACATTTATCTAACTGCCCAAACGATTCCCTCACTCTGCACTGCCAGCCTTTACTACTTCCTACGTCGTGGGGGATGTTTCCTTCCCTTCTCATAGCATATTATGATTGAAGATACATTAATCTAACTGCCACAGACGGTTCTCAACATATGTTCATACCTACTTCCTAAGCCACTTCCTACATCGTGGACCTGTTTTCATCACTTTCCATAGCATTTTAGGAATTTAGATACGTTAATCTAATTGCCACAAACATTGCCCACACTCCGCACTGCTAGCCTTTACTACTTCTTTCACCATTTTCTATGTCGTGGGCATGCTTCCATCCCTTATCATAGCATTTCAGCATTGCAGATACATTAATCTAACTGCTATTAATCCCTCTCTTCCCATAGAATTTTAAGATTGTAGATACCAAGATACCATAATCTAATCGTCATAAACAGTTCCCAGACTCCGGAAAACTCGCCTTTACCACTTCCTTTATCTCTTCCTACGTCACGGACCTGTTAACCTCCCTTCCCATAGCATTTTAGGATTGGGGATACCTTAATCTAATCGTCATAAACAGTTACCACACTCCAAAAAACTCGCCTTAACTGCTTTCTTCATCACTTCCTACGTCACGGACCTCTTTACTTCCCTTCCCTTAGCATTATTGGAATGCAAATACCTTAATCTAATAGTCATAAACAGTTTCCACAATCCGCACAGCTCGCCTTGACTACTTCCTTCACCACTTCCCACGTCGCGGACCTGTTTTCCTCCCGTCCCATAGCATTTTAGGATTGTAGATACCTTAATCTAATAGTCATAAACAGTTTCCACACTCCGGACAGCTCGCCTTGACTATTTCCTTCACCACTTCCCACGTCGCGGACCTGTTTTCCTCCCTTCCCATAGCATTTTAGGATTGCAAATACCTTAATCTAATGGTCATAAACAGATCCCATACCCCGAACAGCTCGCCTTTACTACTTCCTTCACCACTTCCCACGTCGCGGACCTGTTTCCTTCCCTTCCAATAAAATTTTAGGATTGCAGATACCTTAATCTAATTGTCATAAACAGTTCCCACTCTCCGGACAGCTCGCCTTGACTACTTCCTTCACCACTTCCTACGTCGCGGACCCGTTTTCCTCCCTTCCAATAGAATTTTTGGAATGCAGATACCTAAATCTAATCGTCATAAACAGTTTCTCCACACTCCGGACAGCTCACCTTGACTACTTCCTTCACCACTTCCTACGTCGTGGACCTGTTTTTGTCCCTTCCCATAGAATTTTAGGAATGCAGATACCTTAATCTAATCGTCATAAACAGTTCCCACACTCCAGGCAGCTCGTCTTGACTACTTCCTTCACCACTTCATACGTCACTGACCCGGTTTCCTCCCTTCCCATAGAATTTTAGGAATGCAGATACCTACCTAAATCTAATCGTCTTAAACAGTTTCCACACTCCAGACTGCTCACCTTTACTACTTCCTTCGCCACTTCCTACGTCACTGACCTCAAGCTAGTGTCGTCATTTGATTATATTTATGATCCATACCATCCTTTATGTTCTAAGTACCTGGGGACCGAGCTTTGCTCAGGTAAAATCATTAGTTTAATATGAAAGCAGTCTTAGTATTGCAGATACATTAATCCATTCCCAAACTCCACACTGCTCGCCTTTACTACTTCGTTCACCACTTCCTACGTCGTGGGTCTGTTTCCTTCCCTTCCCATAGCATTTTAAGATTGCAGATACCTTAATCCAATCGTCATAAACTGTTCCCGCACTCCGGACTGCTCTCCTTTACTACTTCCTTCACCATTTCCTACGTCGCAGACCTGTTTCCCTCCCTTTCCATAGCATTTTAGGATTGCAGATACCTTAATCCAATCATCATAAACAGTTCCCGAACTCCGGACTGCTCGCCTTTACTACTTCCTTCACCACTTCCTACGTCGCGGACCTTTTTCCCTCCCTTCTCATAGCATTTTAAGATTGCAGAAACCTTAATTTAATCGTCATAAACAGATCCCACACTCAAGACTACTCGTTTTGACTACTTCCTTCACCACTTCCTACGTCGCGGCCCTGTTTACCTCCCTCCCCATATCATTTTATGATTGCAGATACCTTAATCTAATCTTCAAAAGCAGTTCCCACACTCCGGACTACTCACCTGGACTACTTCCTTCACCACTTCCTACGTCGCGAACTTGTTTCCCCCCTCCCCATAGCATTTTAAGATTGCAAATATCTCAAATTAATCGTCATAAACAGTTCACACACTCCGGACTACTAGCATTTACTAAATCCTTCACCACTTCCTACGTCGCGGACCTGTTTCCCTCCCATCCCATAGAATTTAAGATTGCAGATACCTTAATCTTATCTTCAAAAACAGTGCCCACACTCCGGACTACTCACCTTCACAACTTCTTCGCCACTTCCTATGTCGCGGACCTGTTTCCCTCCCTTCTCATATCATTTTAAGATTGCAGATACCTTAATCTAATTGTCATAAACAGTTCCCACACTGCGGACTACTCGCCTTGACTACTTCCTTCACCACTTCCTACGTCACGGACCTGTTTCCCTCCCTTTACATTGCATTTTAAAATTTCAGATACCGTAATCTAATCGTCATAAACAGATCCCACACTCCACACTGCTACCCTTGACTACTATGTATCGAGTTCAGTTTAATCTTTGCTTAATAGTAACAACTGATGTTTTTCCTTTTGTACTGTATTTTGTTTTGCTAGTATACTGTGGATAGAGAACTTCTGCGCATGCGCAGGCTGAGGTGCCCGTGGGTACAGAACGTCGCGTTATGTCTTAAAATGTAAACAAAATGACAACAATGGCGGAATGTTTTCTCATAAGGCCCATGTTAAATTTTCAAAAGTTTTCAAAAGTGAGACACAGTAGGGCGGATTCCTGAGAGACTTTTTTAACGCCATATAGATGTTGGCACTCACCGATATGGTCTTTATCACCATGCAAAATTTGAAAACGATTGATTCAGCCGTCTAGGAGGAGTTTGCGTATTACGAAATGCATAAAAGTCGATGTATAAGAGCTTCGCTCGCTTCGCTCGCTCCGCTCAATAAATTTGCGCACCGCAGTCTTCGCCAACTGTCGCGGGCCCAAATACCGTGACCAATGAAAAGTGCCATACGGTCTAACGGTATGTGAAGCTAGCCTGAACCGACACATTTTGTCACAGAGAATATAAAGTTGAGGTGTGTAGAAGTAGATTTCCATTTGTTCAATTTTATAAACAATGAAAACACCTCATACAATAAATTGATGATATTCTACCTTTTGTATGGATAGATTATGGACAAGTAATTGGCACCAAAGTGCACATAGACATCGAAGTATTCCGAACAAAGTATACAGTAGGCCTACCGTAGCTGGTTAATTTAGATTATTTTCATACGACGTCGTTTTAATAGTCTAATATACAGGTGTAATGGTACGGTGAAGATGAGTGTAGAATTGAATTCTGTTACTGACTGAGGTATTTTTTCCTAGGTTGAAATTATTTATACATGTCCAATCGAACCATCAAAGCTACTGATGTGATTTGTTTGTATGTTATGAATGTAAGTCAAAAGGGTTTTAACTTTGCTGAAATCAGAGCCAAGGTTTAGTAATGATTTTGGGTTATCAGAAAACGTATTTTATGAATATCAGGATGCTATAACATTTCGAAGTGTTATATTTACTCATGAAGTAATCCTTACTGCCTATAAGCTGTGGGAAACGTGATATTTGGCTGTTATTAATGTACAATCAAATACTCTTT